TCCCCCATGGCCCCAGCTCTCAGCCCTTTAAAAAAAAAAAAGCCCCCACTCACCAGCTGCTGTATTGGCCTCAGGGCTCTGGGGGCTTGTGGCAGAGCCCCCCACACAGCGCGGGGCAGTGGGGAGCAACAGGGATCGTCCCCCTGCCTGGCAGCAGCGGCCAAATCTCCAAATCAGATTCAGCCAAATCTATGCGGGACAGTGATTCGAATCACCAAATCAAATCACTGTCCCCCAAATCAGCCGAATCCAAAGTTAATACTAGCCACTTTGAGCAGGCCTAGAAAGCATCACCTGCATTGGAAGTCCATTCTATATTTTGGCAACCCTCAATGTAAAGAATTTCTTCCTGATGTCCAATCTAAATCTACTCTCCTTCAGTTTATGGCCATTATTTCCAGTAACTCCAAGGGGTGCCCTGGTAAACAGAGTATCCCATATTCCCTGCTGACTCCCACGATGAGTTTGTAGACAGCCACGAGATCACCTCTCAGCTTTCACTTGCAGAGGCTGAAGAGATTCAGGTCCCTCAATCTGTCTTCAAAGGGTCCTACCTGCAGGCCCTCAATCATACCAGTAGCCTTCCTCTGAGTCCTTTCCAGGTTATCCACATCCCACTTGAAGTGCAGCGCCCAAAACTGGACACAGTACTCCAGTTGCAGCCTCACCAATGCCACAAGGCGGGGAAGTATCACCTTCCTAGACCTGCTCGCAATGCACCGACCAATGCAAGACAGAGTGTGGCTAGCTTTACTTATTACTGCATCACACTGGCAACTCATGTTCATTTTTGTGTCAACTATGACTCTGAGATCTCTTTCCACTGCTATGCTACATAGAATGGTACTTCCCAGTCTATAAGTTTATTGGTGATTTTTTTTCTCCCCAGGTGCAGCACTTTGCACTTATCTTTGTTAAACTGCATCCTATTTGATCCGCCCACTTCCCCAGTCTGTCCAAATCTGCCTAAATTTGCTCCCTACCCTCTAGAGTGTTTACTATACCCCATAGTTTGGTGTCGTCTGTGAATCTGGACAGAGTGCTTTCTACACCCTCATCCAGATCGCTGATAAAGATATTGAAAAGTACTGGTCTAAGGACAGAGCCTTGGGGGACACCACTGCCCACATCTCTCCAGGTAGAAACTGACCCATCCACCACCACTCTCTGGGTGCATCCCATGAGCCAGTTTTCCACCCACCTGACTGTGAAAAAATCCACGTCACAGCTACTTAGTTTACTTGTAAGAATTGGGTGTGACATTGTGTCAAAAGCCTTTTTAAAATCCAAATAAGTAACATCTACCTCTACTCCTGGATCTAAGCACTTTGTGACCTGGTCATAAAAAGAAACCAGGTTAGTCAGGCAGGATTTGCCTGCTATAAACCCATGCTGGTTGCCCCTTAACATTGTATTATCTGCTGGCCCCCCACATATGTGATCCTTAATGATTTTTTCTAAGGTCTTGTCAGGAATAGAGGTGAGGCTAACTGGCCTAAAATTACCCGGGTCCTCCTTCCTCCCCTTCTTGAAAATAGGGACCACATTGGCCCTTTTCCAGTCATCCAGGACCTGTCCTGAGTGCCACGAGCTCTCAAACAGTTGCGTCAGTGGTTTCGTTATGACACTGGCCAATTCCTTTAGTACCCTTGGGTGAAGATCATCGGGTCCTGCAGACTTAAATACGTTCAACCCCTCCAAGTACCCCTTCACCAGGTCAGCACGAATCACTGATGGACTGGTATCTCTCTCAAGCCAGACGAAAGTCGCATTGGGTGGTGTGTTTTTTTTCCTGGACCAGGAGCACAGATGGAAATAAATCACTGAAGAGCTCAGTTTTCTCCATCCTATCTGTTACGAGTTGCCCTAGTCCATCCTGTAGTGGCCCTATGTTACCCTGCACCTTCTTCTTGCTCCCTATGTACTTAAAGAAGGTCTTTTTGTTACCCTTAATCTTAGTTGCCAACCTGAGTTATGTTTCTGCTTTGGCCTTCCTCACTGCTTCCCTGCAAGTGCGAGCCAAGTAGGTATACTCCTCCTTGGTGGCTGTCCCCTGCTTCCAATGCCTGTAAGCCTCTCTTTTCCCCTGTAGGCTCTCCTGGATTTCCCTGCTCAGTCAAAAGGGTTTCTTCTCTCTTTTGCCTCCCTTTATGTGTACTGGGATGGTACCCCTTTGTGCCTGCAGGATCAGTCCCTTGAGGAACTCCCACCCTTCCTGGACTCCCAACTCACCAACATTATTACCCCTCAGACCCACGCTAACTAATCTCCTGAGCTCACTGAAGTTGGCCTTCCAAAGTGCCAAAGGCTTCCACTGTTGTGGGTCCATCTGAAGCTGATCCAGTTTCCAGAGAGGCTTCCCCCCTCACCTCACATATTTTGGGGAGGATGCAGGTGGTGGCCACAAAGTTGGGAATGTCCCTCAGCTTAAATTCATAATGGAACCCTGAGGACCTCCAGCATGCCTTTAGGTGCCAAAGGTACATTCCACGACCATCCAACAACTGCTCATCTAATAATTAACGAAATTCCTTCCTGATGCCCAGCTGGCCAGTATATGATTTCATGAGCAGTGGGTAGGCCAGATCACCAATAAGTCGGGGAATGGTCAGCTTACCCAAATCCATAGTTGGAATGTCAGGCACTCCCTCATTTCCAGCAAACCAGATTTCCTGAATACACAGGCAACTTGTACCCAGCCCAAACACTCAACACTGATATTAGTGAAGTACCTCTAGTAGGCCACAACTCCTGGAGTATTCTTGAAAATAACATCTTACAATTTAAGTAATCCAAGGTATGGACAGGCAAGGTACAGAATGGCTATGTGGGTCCCATCAATGGCCCCCACACAGTTCAGGAACTCTGTTGTTCAAACATAGTGATGACTTCCTGCAGGTTCCTGAGCCAGATGAACCAAGGCACTAGCTCTTCAAGCATGGTGTTACACACTTTGTGCACAGTCACCATCACTGTTGTCTGACCCATGCTGAACTGGTTGGCAAAAGAATGGAAGCTGTCAGTGTTCACCAACTTCCAAATTATCAGGGCCATATGTCTCAGTGGACACTGGACATTGACACCCAATGTCCTGGCACTGGAGCAGAGGGGCACCTCAGTGCAAAGGTTAATGAAGGTGCCACAGGACCATCCTAAAGTTCACCACCACTGTTTTTCTCTCCAGGTTCCAAGTATGAGGTGCTCCCACCAGTCCAAGTTCACTGGTAGTGCCCAACACAGGCAAAAGGTAATCAGGCCTGCAGCACCCCAGCTTGCATGCCATCATGCTGTACTCCTCAAGAGATCAAGCATGATGCCCACAGCAGCATCACGGCCCTCGAAGTAGAGCCTTGCACCTCTGAAACACGGAGTACCTGTGGATTATAGAGTGGTCAAGGCAAGGATTTGCTCAGTTATGCCACTTGTCATCTCCCAAGAAGGGCTTAAATATCCTGTGCTAGGCCAAGGAGGGATTGAAATTTGCATTCTCAGCACAGCAAAACAGTCAGCCAATCAACGCTTTTGTCTATGCTGGGCTGGTTTTGGTCACTGTTGGAAATACAGGAAAAAGTTGCTCCAGCATGGCATGCAGGGAGTCCTGTTCACCAGCCCTCTAATGGCAGAATGTGAACTGTTCATGTCAGAGCCGTAGTAAATATTACTATGTGACTGCTCTGAACACATTTAATACCACATAACGTTCCACAGATTCAACACATAGTAAGTGTCCCATATGACAAGGCCCTCAGGCTGCTCCGATAAGGGCAACATGCAGCATATTGCTCTACAGGAGGAAAACTGCAGGGATGCTATAACAGGAAGCCTGGGGGTCAGGAGTGAAACAGCTACAAACTCCTGAAGAAAGTGCTGGAGGAAGATTTGACTTCCAGGCAGTTGGCTAATACAGTCGAAATTGGCAAGGTATAGACAGGCCCCTGGAGAAGACCCCAGATTTGGAAGAAGGGATGAGTGATATGGAATTTGTGTTTCTAGATTTTATGTGAATGAAAGGCAAAGCTCTGAGAAAACTCTAGGTGTGGTATTACTCTTGCATAGCTGACTGGACAGGCCAGCAGCCCACAAGCTCATTGTTTTTTCTGGTCTGAGTCTAGAACAGATTCACCCTCCTGAAACTAACACAGGTTTAACTTTACCTCTTATCTGTCTTTCCTGCATTTCACTTGTACTACATGGAACTACTCTATTTTGTTAAATACTGGCTTTGGAAGGAAAAGGGGGAGAATTCTTTAGCAAAGACAATTACATTGCGAGACCTTTATTGAAATGACAGAGCATACTGCAAGTTAATCTTTATCAACCTAGAATCATAGACTCATACAACTGAAAGAGACCTCATCTGGTCCAAACCCCTACAGGAATGCTATTCCTAAGCTATCCCTAGCAAATGCTTATTCAACCTCCTCTTGAAAACCTCCAGTGAAAGAAACTGCAGAAAGTTCCTGGGTACTCTGCTCCAGTACTTTCCTGTTCCAACAGTAAGGAGGTATTTTATGAGATCTAAATTAATTTTGCTGAAATTTAAAACCATTGCTTTGTATCCTTCCCTCTGCAGCACAGGAGAACAGTTGTTCTCCTTCTTTATGGCACCTCTCAAATATTTGAAAACTGCTATTATGCCCCACCCCTTCCAATCACTCTTTCTTCAGCTGCTTAACACATGCTTAACACCAAAGTCTCAAAGCCCATCTACTCCACCAATCTGATCGACTGGGGCAGGTCTGACACCACAGCCAAAATCCTTTCTGGAGTAGCCTCAGCCAACAGGGAAGCAGCTTGTTATGTACCTAGAGGACTGGAGGTCATAACACTGCAATTTTTGGACTTACAAAACTAGTATAACACTCTCCCACTGTTGCACATATTGGCTGGAGAAGATCTAAAAGCTTCTACAGAGACTGTTCGTGTCTCAGTCACCAGGATAACCATGCCAACTCAACCATTAGAGATAGAAAAAAGAAAACAATTCTGAAACTACGTACAGGCTTGATGTCCCGGTGTAGGAATCCCACTGAGTGAATGGCTTCTATAGATTCTAGAATCTGCTTGCCTAATCGAAGGGTTGTGCTCAATGTAAAAGTCCCTCGGGGCTGACTTCTTCTGAGGTCTGCAAGATTCCGGCCCTGAAACAGTTAATACAACTTATACCAATTGCACTGCATGTTATCCATGTGTGGACAGACAACACTTGACAGCCACAAAGTTTGACAAAAGGCAGACTCCAGTGAAAGTAGAATCCATAAAATCACACCCATTTTTATTTCTTGTATGAACAAACAATATTTTCTTTTAATTTTCAACATGTTACTTGAGGTGCAGACTGACAGCTTTGGAAACTTAAAGATCCTGTTTATTTATCATCAAAAAGGTATAGCACGAAGAGCAGCCATACAAGCTTCATTTTACACACACACACACACACACACACACACACACACACACACACACCTGCTTTGAAGTGCTGAAAACAGGCTGAAATGAGAACAACTACTGTCCATTCTACTGAGAGAAAGTCCACAAAGAAGGTCAGACATCAGAAATAAGGTAAATACCTCAAGCACCTGTCAGCCATTAATTACTTTTTTAATTAACTCCACATGAGTTCTCCAACACAGTCACCCACCTGGTTTTTAATCTTCATAGAAGGATGAGAGCAAGGCCATGCAACAGTAAGTTTTATGTTAAGTGGGCCAGATGTACAGTTGCAAGAGTGATATTTTTTTACTGTTGTTTTTTAACCCAGAAAAAGAACTTTTTCCAAGGGTATGTCAAATCCCAAGAGACATGGTAACTTCAGAATCTGAATCAAGGCTGCCTGTTTAGCAAAATTATGAACGATGTCCATTAAATTATACTCATCTGAGCATGTAAGTGAATCCTGAGTCATAGGCCTTGATGAGTCATCTGAATGGTCTCTAATTGTTCTCCTGTGGATGGAATAAGTGCCCACCAGATGTCACAAACCCCTGGGTCTTCCACTCCATCCATTCCACTCTTTGTCCCTTCTCTTCATTCATATATTTCCTCTCCTTTCCTCATCCTTGACTCACTTTCCCTTCTCATTCATTATGTACCCAATAGTAATTGTCCTACTCGCTCCACTGCTGTCACCTCTTTCATCCTCCCCAACTCTTTCTATATCGACAACTCAGTGGCAATAAATGATGGCAGGGGATATTCTTCAAAAAGACTATAAACATAAGGAAGCAGGTGCCTTCTGAAATTCTAGCATGGAAAGCCAAGTTGTACTGTCCATACTAGATTATCAGAGCAGTCCTTTATGGACATATGATCCAAGAATGTAGGCATTGGGGATATTTTCTCCTAAATTCAAATAATTGTTATAATAGCTGATGCAGTAGCATAGAGCAGATATGGAAAGCCTGGATCTCCTAGTGAGAACATGAAGACCAGATGAAACATGGATAATTTAAACATGCTGGACTAGCAACCATGACTGAGATGCAAGTATTAGAGGTTGTGTTTTGTACAGGAAAGACAGAAATAAAGGTAAAAGTGGTAGGGTAGTACATTACATTAGTGATGTGATAGACTGGAAAGAGATAACAAGGGAGGTATAAAACAGAATTGGTTGAGTCAAATCATTTTTGGTAAGAATAATAAAAAAAAATGCTACTGGGGTAAAGCTGGGAATAGATATAAATGCTACCAGAAAGTGCATCATTATGGGGGCCTATAAACAGGCTGGTGCTCCTGCTCCCATGCAGGCGGGCTTTGCTGCACTACGAATCCCTCAGTCAGTTGAAACAACAGTTCATAAGCAAGCTTGAGAGTCTACAGCCTCACCACCTGGCTGTGATCCCCTGGAAGCCCTTCAGTCAAACCCCAGAACACAAACAATAATCCCTGACTCAAACACACAAGCAAGTAACCTTGTGGGCCCACACCTACTGGCTGGGAAGTGACCCTCTCAGCAGCACAGAAGCAGAAAGGGATCTTGGAGTCATAGTCGACTCCAAGATGAACACAACTTGTCAGTGTGATGAACTCATCAGCAAAGCTAACCACACTTTATCATGCATCAGCAGATGCAAGACAAATAGAACCAAGAAAGTGATACTTCCCCTCTATGCGGCATTTGTCAGATTGCAGTTGGAGTACTGCATCCAGTTTTGCGTGCCATACTTCAAGAAGGATGTTGATAGACTCTACAGGGTCTAGAGGAGGGCCACTCATATGGTTACAGGCTTACAGGACAAGCCCTATGAGGAGAGACTGAGGGACCTGGACCTCTTCATCCTTCACAAGAGAAGACTGAGAGATGATCTTCTGGCCACCTGCAAATTCATTAGGGGGATGCAGCAAGGGATCGGAGATGCTCTGTTCACCAGGGCACCTCTTGGGGTAACAAGGAACAATGATCATAAAGTGACAGAAAGCAGATTTAGGCTAGATATCAGGAAAAACTTCTTCACAGTAAGGGTGGCCAAAATTTGGAATGGGCTTCCAAGGGAGGTGGTGCTCTAACTTAGGGGTCTTTAAGAGAAGGCTGGATAGGCATCTGGCTGGGGTCATCTGACCCCAGCACTTTTTCCTGCTTAGGCAGGGGGTCGGACTCAATGATCTGTTGAGGTCCCTTCCAACCCTAGCATCTATGAATCTATGAAACTATAAAGCAAAACCTTTGGCCTTTCTTTGGGTGTCAGGAGAGGGCACTTTTAGGTCTGGCCCTTCCTAGAAGTGAGCTCCTTCTGGTTTCAGTCTGCCTCCTAGCTGCAAACTGTTCCTTCCCCAGGTCCAACTCTTTCTCCTCTCTTGGGATTTTAAATTGCAAGCTAATCACCCATAGGTGGGCGTCTACCTCAGGGCTGGCTGCCCATTTAAAGGGCCAGATCACACTGTTACATATCCCCCTCTCCAAGAGTAAAGTCCAGGACTCACTCTTCCACATTCAGTGCCAGTCTGGCCCTTAAGTGGGGCAGGCAGTACTAGACTAGGAACCTAGCACTGAGGAATTAGCTGTTTGTGCTATGGACTTTTGTTGGTGTTATGAACTACTGTTTAGACCAGTAGCAGGCAAAATAGAGCCCACAGGCCATTTTATCTGGCCCGTGGGGCCCCTCTAAAATTTAGGCAATTATTACCTGCTGGTGGCTGCCTGTCAGAAAGCCGACAAGGCATCGGCAGCACAAAGCGCCAGCTGCAGTAGCAAGCAGCTAGGGGCTCTGGTTGTGCTGCAATCAACCCAACCCCAACCTGGCCCACCCTGCTCCGCTCCCAACCCCAGAAGCTTTTGGAGACCAGAAGCTTTGGGCAAGCAGAGACTTTTGCCCTGGCACCCCTGTGGCTGTTCCCCAGCTCTCCCTCATCCAAGAGTTGAAACTGAGGTAAGAACAGCGGGGCGGGGGGGAAGAGGGAGGGGAATGGGGACACATGGACTGCCTTGCGGGACTCTGACTCTGTGCCTCCATGTGCTGCTCCCAGCTAAAGTGGCAGGAGCACCGTGTGGAGGCACAGAGATGGCCCAGCCTGATGGCACAGGTCTTCTCATGCCTCCTTTACTGAGGCATACAAGGAAGTGGGACTGATACTCAAAATTCAGAAGACTAAGGTCCTCCACCAACAAGCTCCTAATGAACAGTCTCCAGGTCTGGTAATCCAGATCCATGGTGGGACTCTGGAGAATGCGGAGTATTTCCTGTATCTCAGATTTCATCTGTTGCAGAAGGCTGACACTAACAAAGAAATCCAACATCATCTCAAATACGCAAGTGTGGCCTTTGAACGCCTGAAGAAATGAGTGTTCGAAGATCACAACATGAGATCCGAAACCAAGCTCATGGTTTATCAACTAGTCATGATCCCCACTTGCTGTACGGAGCTGAGACTTGGACAATGTACAAGAGACATCTAAAGTTGTTGGAGAATTACCATCAATGCTGCCTGCAGAAGATCCTTCAAATCCAGTGAGAAGAGAGACACCAATGTTATAGTCCTCCTGAAAGCAAACACCATGAGTACTGAGTGACTCCAGACTCCCAAAGCAAGTTTTATTCTCCCAGCTCAGCCAAGGTGTACGCTCAAGAGGAGGGCAAAAAACGTGCTTCAGGGACATCCTCAAAGCCAACTTGAAAAAATGCAACATCGATGTCAACTCAAGGGACACAATCACCCAGGACCACCCCAAATGGAGGAAGAGTCTGCTGCAGGGATCTCAGTACTTTGAAACCTCATGACAAGAACAGAAGATGGAAAACCAGGAGCAGCAGAAACAGCGTGTCATGGACGAAATGAAAAATCTTGCACCACCCACCCCACATAGAAATACATGTCTGAGTTGCAGTAGGGTCTGTCAATCCTGGATAGGCTGCATCAACCATCTTCAGACACAGATAAGACAATCATGGAAGACAAACATTCTCAACTGTGAGGGATTGCTGAAGAAGCAGCTACTAATACACAGAACAGCTGAGATCAGTCGCTACTGCTGTGTAGTATAGACAGTAGCTTAGATGTGCCCAAAGGCATTAAAACATCTCTCTCTCTCTCATTCAACTAGTTTCTATATGCAAGAGAAAAAACACACTTCTACAGCCTCTCCCCAACCTTCATCCTCATTGCCCAGCATATTGGGATTTCATTAGTTATTTTGGAAAAAAATATTAGGCTTTCAGCTATATTTGCAACAGTTAAGAGAAGCAAAACTCACCTGAAGCTGCATGACCACGTAGTTAAATTTCTCATTCCTTCCACAGCCAATAAATCTACAGACATGGTCTTTCCCTGCAGGAAAACACAAACATATAGAACATAAGCAACTATAACCGTCTTGTGCTTGTGCGGGCCGGCTCCCGATCTCGGGGGCATCAGTTACAGAGGCGTAATGGTGGATTGAAAAGATTATTTACTTACACCCAATGTGGTCGTGGTGTAGGCTGGACAGCTTTCCAGGCGCAGCTCTGCTTGAATCCTCATTGGAGGACTCTGACAAACTCGGTTCTTTGACCCCGGAGTGGTTTAGGCTCCGCGGGTTTGACAATTCTCTCCCACAGAGCAGCTGAATCTCCGTGGGTTTTGTTCGGTTCCCAGGTCCCCCGGAGCTGTTAAGACTCCGTGGGTTCGAAAATTGGGTCCATAGGATAGGGATACGTCTAGGGTTGCGATCGACGACGGGGAGAGGCTACAGGTTATTGGCCCTGGAGTTGTTAAGGCTCCGAGGGTTCGGTAAATAGGTTCCCCGGAGTTGTTGAAGCTCCGTGGGTTCGGCAAATTAAACCTCTGTTGCCCTCTTAAGGAAAAAGCTGGGTTCGTAGGGATCAGCAGCGCTTAGAAATCTTCACGCTCTTTTCCCGAACTCCACGTGCTTTCTCTCTCTCCTACTTGGGCGGAAACTACCCAAGACTTTTGTACGGCTAGCAAGCCAATAACTAGCTGCCACATGTGCCTATATTAAGATTGGCCAATAATGTGGCAGAAATCTTAATACAAATGGCGGGAACTCCTTTGCATCGTACATCACTATAATGCAAAAGAAATGCACCATGCAAAGAAGGCTACAAAACTGGCGGGAAATACTCTCTTGCATGCGGGTTCTCTATTACAACAGAAAACTCCACCGTGCAAAAGAGCTGCAATTTAGCGGGAACATAATTTAGCAGTGCCGAAGCACACACAAACAAAAAAAACCACAACTTTGGGTTGTGACAGTGCTCACCAGTCTTTATGAAAAAAGGTCTACACAGCCAAAATTTACCCCATCTGACAGGACTTGGATCATTCACCTCAGAAGACTAAGAACGAATGCAATACCAGTATAAAAAGCGTAAGTAGGGAACTAATATAAAGATGTTTGTTTAGAGCATTCATGAGTGATTTCTTCCACAACTCACCAAGGCTGCAACCACTATCCGCACCAGCCAGGAGGCCCTACTGTACTGACAACCTGCAACCCTTGACAAGGCAGAAATCTTGGCTCATTACCCTGCAAAGGCTGGGCCAGTGATCTATCCCATTAATCCTCCAAGTGATGGGTCCAAATCCCTGCTGTCTGATTCAGGGGACTGTCAGAATTTTCAGACATTCCAGCCAGAACATGCATATGGTATGTTGTCTAGAGAAAGGAACCACGGCACTAACTCATTTTCTAATGCCAGGCAATAGAAAACAGCAGGTATGATACCACCACTGAAACTGTCCCCTCCCCGCAAAAGCACAAGACCCTCCCTTAGGAAGAAAGGTGCTTGTTCCCAGAATGCATCTGAGTTAAGGGAAATTCCTCCTTTTCAGGTAGTTTTTTGTCTTTGCTTTAAATGCCCCCACTGTTTAGGTCACTTATGTCATGATCATTGCTAACTGTACCACATGAACATACAAGGGTTATTGTTTCTCTCTCACCAGACTCATCTTCAAGTGCACCTTTTGTGGAAGAGCATGATTTAAGTGGCGTTGCATTTCACTGTGAAAGGCAGCAAAGACTGGCAATCAGTTGTTCTCTTTGGCAGTAACCACTACTTGGAGGAAAACAAGAGCTGGCAATCAAATGGCCTCTTTGACAGGGAGTCTATTTTGTTCTTACTCAATAATCATGCATCCTCCAGCCTCCTTCTGCCACTGAGGTCATGTTAGAGATCTCAAATACAAAGGATCTGCTTTTATGTTTCCATGATATCCCAGGTATACAGAACTTCTCTGGATCTCACCTGTACTGCTAGGGATTTGTTTGGAAATACTGCTGGCCCCAAACGAGCTTTGGGATTCAAGGGATGCATCTACATGAGGCACTTTACTGCACATTAGATTAGCCTAATCTAATTCACAGTAAAGTGTCACCATTTACATGTGTGCAGCAATTACTGCACAGTAGATTAATCTAATGTGCCGTGTTCTAGTACCTGTAGATACAAACCACATGTGCAGATGCTGACTGAGGCACCAGGAGGCCACAGTGAGCA